TTTTATTTAAAATTATCTAAATTAAGTTAATTTTAGTGCAAAGAAAAATGCAAATTATTAATGAGGTTTTTAGTATATTTTATGATTTACTATTTTAATATGAATTTCCTGTAGACGAAAATAATATGAAAAATAACTTTAATAGTCATTATATGGGCTATATAATATCTACCTACACGTTTATCATTATAAATTGTATTAATAATATTTTCAAAGATAGGTTATACAGATTATCGTTTAAATGGGTTCCCTGAAGTGGATGTCGAATGTTGTCGTGAACGTAATAATATAGTACAAAGTAATTATATTTTTACTGATAATAATTGTTCATGTTGTGCTGAGCCTAGGTTTTAAAACTACACGGTGGCTGCATTTTGTCCTCAGTATAGAAAATATATTTGGGTGGTAGGTACTGCCTGTTTGATTTTTAAAATTTATGTGAATCAATTAAAAATATTGGTATCTTGGCAGTTGGGAGAAAACTATTAAGGTGTTTTTTTTTTTTTTTTTGATGTACCACTTGGGTAAATTGATTTGAGTATGAGTTCAGGACTAAGATTTATTTTGGAAAAGTCGGTTTTTTGATAGCTAATTAATACTTTTATGTCTCATTTAAAAAATTTCCCTAGTATTTTTCTTGAGTGTAAAAAAACTAATATTATGTGTGCAATTTTTTATTTTTGCAAAATAGAAAATTTTAACTTTAAACTAAGTTAAGTTACTTTTTTTTCAAAGTTAACTTTTAACTTAACAAGTTAACGTAAAAAATATGATTAACTTTTAATTTAACTTAACTTTTATATTTTAAAATAACTTAACTTAACGAGTTAAAAAAAATCGTTAACTTGCCCAGCCTTGTTGGTCTGTATAATATCTATAATACTTATCTGTGTTAATAAATCAAAAGATTGTATTTGTTTCGGCATTTTAAATTTTGTATGCTGTTCGTACCTACTACACAATTCTATTAACTCAGTACCTACCTATGTATAGAAAAGCTATTGGCTATTTCCTGTGTTCAATAATATTTATGATTTTCATTATTTTGAACCATATTAATGTGTATTTATATAGATATAAAAAAAAAAAAAAAAATAACTTTACTTAACTTAAGTTAATAAGTTAATTGAAAATGTTCATATTACTTTTAACTTAGGTGGGTTAAAAAAAAAATTAGGTCAACTGTTAACTTTAAATTTTTAAAAATGTTTTCCATTAACTTAACTTAACTCAGTTAAAAATTATCATTGACTTGCCCAGGCTTGAATTATAATCCATATAGGTAGCTATCAGTTCTGTAGAACCTATCTTAACGCCCTAATCATTTAACTACTTATTATAATTTAATAACACCATTTAGAGTGCCAGGCTTACTAAGGTTAAGTCTACAACGTCATGGCCTAATACGTTGTTGTCTAACAATGCACTAGGCAGGCCACTGACTTGTTCCTGCTGATTGGGCATATTTAAATCAATCGCCGACATCGAGGCCTGTTGATTGCCAGTTCAATGAGAAGACGACGTAGTTACCCTGGGTATTTTCTGCAAAACAATATTAGGTAGGTAACAATTAATGTAATATAATAATTTATATTATATCATTGACTATAAATACTAATCAATGGCGATCATGTATTAATATTAAAGCAGCACTTGTACAACAGTAGGTAGTACCGAAAGATTTATACTGCAGGTAAAGCGGTGTTTTCTATAATATTCATTATTCGTGATGACCGATGAACATAATACATTTTGTTTTCATATCATCGAGGTAGATTCTCGGTTTACTTGAATTAAATTCCGATTGCTTATAATATAATCATCTAAGTTTGAGTTATTGCTGGAATCGCTGTACAGCATGTACAATATATTATCAGATCGCACAAGTTGACGTGCACCTCTGGCATGGTCATAAGTCATAACTTGCTGAGTGCTTACGTTTATTTTCCATTACTTGAACTGGGAAACTTGCAACTGTGAGAGCATGAAAAGCAAAAATTATTTTTAAAACTAGTAATTAGGTACGACAGTCGATTTGTATACCTACAGTCTACGGTATAGAAATGTAAAGTAAATACTAGGGCTCGGATCTATATGTATTCATATAACCAACGTAGGTATTTATACACCAAAAATATTTACATAAATATGTGCTAAAGAATTCAAAATATTATGTATAATCAAAAAAAAAACTAAATAAATAATCAATTGCTATCGATTTTATACTAGCAGTTGTACAATACAAAATGTGACCGTCACTTTGTAAATGTTCATTTGGATATTCAGAAACATATTTTATTGCTTTGCAAGTTTTAGACGATTGTACTTTTGGCATTACCTATTGGTAATATACATGTAAAATATAACGAAAAACGAGTCCACGAAACACACACTACGATGTCACTTTAAAACTACACACTCATCGCAGTGTTCGCTCGTTCGTGTCTAACGTGTTTAAAAATATGTTAATCGTAATACATTACGATAAGATATCTGATATTTCAATCGATAAAATCGTGTCTAGAAATAACTGAAAATATAGCAGGTTGAGTCCCACGGTCGTTTAGCCAAGTCAAAAATACGTCCGGTGGACCTGAACTTCGAAGAAATGACGTTAAAACAGTACAATTGTCTAAATATGTGAAAAAAATTGAATAATTGTGAAATATGTAAAAATACTTAAAATCAAATACAGCTCATTTTATCAAAAATCTTATGAAATGAATTTATCACTTGCCGAAATTAATTTATCATGTTGCAGAGAAAATATGTATATACATATAAATCCGAGCCCTAATTATAACTATTTTAATATTAAGTACCTAGGTATACCTATGCACTTTACTGTTATTATAGTATTATACTAAAACTCTAATGAAGTATAGTTGTATATTAAGTTAACTGTTAATTCGATACCGTGATTTTATATTTTTGTCTAACACTCTAACACACGCGCTACATAGTATTTTAGACGTATTTTTTGCCAAACATACCAATTGATGTAATGAAGCGATAAGAATTCTGAAAATCGATTTGAATTTGCCGTCAAGTCTACTTGAAATTGTCTATCAAACATTTTTGATATTATCCCCCAAATTTTTTAAAATGTCATATTCAAAAAGAGTATTTAAAAGTTCTGGTATTTCAATTTTTGGAGAAGTTAAAATCAAAAAATAAAAAAAATGTGGGAAAGTCGACTTCAAGTAGACTTGGTGATAAATTCAAATCTGTTTTCAGAAATCGTATCGCTTCAATAGATCAATTGGAATGTTTGGCAAAAAACACGTCTAAAATAATATGTCGCGAGTGTGTTAGACAAAAACAGAAAATAACGGTATCGAATCCCCTTAACCTAAGAAACAACCAGTAGACCTGGTACGATGTTTGAGTATTTATTTTTAATTTTCAGTCTTATAATAATCTGATTTTTGATTTCCAGCCGAGCGATACGTTTCCATTAGGATGCATTAAAAATGTTTAGTTATTCAATTTTTGAAAACATATCATAAAGTTTCAGATTAAAATATTGAAAAACGGAGTTCAATGTGACCTGTAGAATATTAACCTCTACTAGCTTAAAAAATGTATCTAATTTGGTTGATTCTACAGAACAGGATCATTATTCCCTTAGAGCGTATTTTTATGGATAATATTACTTCGGATCGGGGTGCTTTAATTTAAAAAATGAAAATTATAGAAGTTGTTTAATACCTACTTTGTTAGTAATTAAACTGAAAATTTTTTTAATTCGTTTGTTGCTTCAAGTGTGACTGAATTTAAATAGTTTAAGAAAAAAAAAGGGATGTGATAATTATTTTCAAATTTATTTATATTATTACACGATGTTCAATTAATGGATGGTAAATGTAAATATTATAAATTTATATAGTTTCATGTTAAAATATACTATTCATAGATATAGGAAATAACAATATACCTAAGTATTCAATTGAGAATATTTTTCAAAAAATAAAATTCGATCACATTCACGTACACAGATCATATACTAAAATCGAATATGAACTACAACTACTAAATTAATAACACTTGAACAGTTAACAACTAAAATACAAGCAACGTTTAAATTTCAGCGAGCGGATATAATTGTCCTAATACAATAAAAAATAATAATAATAATAATGATAATATTGCAATAATAGTAGTAGTAATAATATTATATATTTTATTATACTTTTGTGTGTTATTGGAATTTAAACATTAATCAGTATACGCCCGTGCTATGCGGGCCCTTACGAGACGTATTTAGATGTCGCTCGCTACTTGGATTATTTTCAAAATAGGGGATTTGAGTATTTGATATTTATTAATTCATAATAAACATTTATTATTTTCTAGTATTTAACAAATAAGTATTTTGGGGCGAATGAATACTATCGCGTATTCGCGTGGATAATTGAAGTAAAATCTCCAAATATTTACAGTAGACAGAGGAAAACTTTATCTGTGCTTACCTAAGCGATTTCTTTTTTTTTCGAAAACACATTTCGTTCTTATTTTATGGGGGTAAGTAAAAACTCAATACTTCCAAAACGTATCAAAAACAATCAATTTGATTTATCAAAAAAAAAATCGAAATCCTTAAGCATAGATAATATTCTCCTTTATTTGTCAATATGAATTTGGAGAATTTAGTATTATTACAGGCTTCACCGTATTAAAAATCGTGAACCGTGGTTTTGCTCTCAGAATTCGGGAGGGTAGCGTCCTCTTAATGTCTATATCGTTAACCTACTATTATGAAAAAAATGTGATTTCATTGACAAACAAATCGCTTGACGACCAGATTGTTTGAAATAAATACGTACAATTGTAATACACTTAATAAACAAAAATATGTGAACCGCGTCGCCAATTAAAATATATTACAAAAGTCGTGTTGAGCTAAATTGTCGTAAACGTGACGTGAGACGAAAATCTGACGGCTACATTGCCACGTACCTATCACTTATCGCCACAGTGGTGTACATAACGTGATCGTGATGACATCTCTGGTGGTTACGGCGACTACTTCGGTTGAGGCGGCAGAGTCGTCGACTGCGAGTACGGCGGAGACGGTGGTGGCAGCGGCAGCATCGTCGGCGGAGGTAATCGCTGTGCCGCCGTCGGTTGTGTCTGCGGCGGCGGCGGCTTCCACTCTGCCACTGGAGCCCGAGACCACCGAGATCGTGGCCATCTCCCTGCAGATCCGTCGAGCCCTGGAATGCCCGATATGTCTGACCATGATGTCTGTCATGTCGTGCTTCTGCCCCAATGGGCACGCAATCTGCCAGACGTGCATGCTGACGCTGTTGAACACCAGCGCGTTGGTGGCCAGCACCTTGTGCCCGCTGTGTCGGACTTTGATGGTGCAGTCCTTGAGCATGTCGGCCATGGTGATGAAACTGGCCGAGGCCACCCCGTTGGTGAAGGTGGCGTGCTCAAACTGGTCGTTCGGGTGCCCCGATCTGGTTCCCGTTCGACACGTTAACGAACACGAGTCCGCGTGTCGGTACGTGCCAGACGTGCCTTGTTTGGTACATGTGTGTCAGTGGGTCGGCATGTACGAACAGCTGTACGAACACGTTTCCAACGTGCACCCTGATGTCACCGTCGAGTCTTCGGTAACGATAATAAAATATTACCTATTATTAATAATATTAGTATGACAATATCAAGACACAACTGCCTGCCTACTCCACAGTAGTACGAGTGTAGCTATCACGGCTGTATTTAGCATGGTTGTATAATTATGGGTCCACCATAATATTATGTTCTTGTCAAAAATATTCTGTAATATTAAATAATATTTAATGTCTTAGATATAATTATTATCTATGACCTTATGTATACCACGACTGTAAACAGTACAGCTGTGCTGCAACTTTATAATTATTATGCACACAACTCAAGACCGGACGACCCCACTAAGAAGCCAACGCGCTCAATTATTTATTGCTGTCATATTACTAGAAATCGTTTTTTAGCTTTTGCGATTGTTTTAGAATATTATATATCTTCCCAACTGTTATCATTATTCGTATACTATAAACAATAATATTAACTATATTAATATGTTAACCGAAAAAAGAACCGTTTCAGACAAACCTGCTGAACGTGACCGACCTACATGCAATTACAAGGAACCAGCGCCGGACGTACCTGGTCCGTTCAGAGTACGGCATGATCTGGGTGCTGGTATCGCGGGCCACACGGTCGCGGATCCAGACGGGACTGTTCATGGTGAAGAGCACTCGGGACGACCAACACTCGACATCGAACCTCGACCAATATCGAGGTAACCCAAGATCACCGGAATTATTGTACCGGGTCACGTGGTTCGATGGCAACGACCGAACCCGGACCAAGAGCAGGACGAAGCAGGTCTTCTGGAGTACGGCCCTGAAGGAGAGCTGCCACACCGCGTTCTTTCCCAACGCGTACTCCATGTTCCGGTCCAGGTCGGGTCGCATGGAGATCAGTTGGTTCCGTCGGTACGTTAGCAACAGCCAGGTCCGAAACCAACCCTCATCGACTTGAACAGCATGCACCAAAAGGTTTCGTCTTTATTTTTTAAAGTTATTATTGCATACGAAGATCGTTGATGCGGTGTTATAATATTATCATATCATTATAGTCATGGCGACGATGTACCTAACTATAATTCAACCACTGAAAATTAGTCTGTGTGTGTGTTCCGTCATTGTATTAAATATCAATCGTCGTTGACATCAAAGGCTCACCGTCGGGGGGTCGACACATCAACATTCAATGCGAGATCGTGTGTGCATGGGATGTTTGAATAATTATTTGTTTTTAAGAAACTTGTTTTAACTGATCAATAAATAAACGTTCTATTTTTAACGAAATATATGGATTTTAGTGTATATACGCTCACATTTGACTTATTGGTAAGCCGCCACGTTTATAATAATTATTAAATTTGTGTCTGTTAATTTTGCTGTAGATTTGCCGCCATGTCAAAATTCTCTATTACACTCATTATTACGAATCCATTTTACTTAAATAAGAATATAAGTACAACACAACTATTTACTCCCTCAACACTGTAAACTGTTATACGTGATTCGATAATGTTGTAGTATATACTGAACGGTTCTAGAACCTAGTACCTACCCACCCCGAGGTCCAATGAAACGCAGTGGCGTATTTACGATTTTGGAGCCTTGGGTACACACATTTTGGAGCCCCTTTTTTCTCAGTTTATATTTATTCATTTTCACAAAAAACTCAATAGTCACAATTTACTTTTTCTCTCAGTTAATAGTACAGTGCTTGAAACCGGTATAAACCGTTATAAAACCGAAACCGAAAAAAAATTTAGACCGGTGTACAAATCGAAACCAAAACAGACATTTTTTCAATCGGTTTCAAGCCATGTAAAGGTGATAATTGATAACCTAAAATGTATATTTTCCCCTTATTGCATTTATGCTTCCACTAATTTAGAGAACACTTTTATTGTACCATTAACAATCCGTTTATTCCTAATTAAATAAACAAATTATAATTTTGATTTTAGCCTTTTAGCCTTTTTTTACGACAATTTAATAAAATACATTATAATATATATATATAATATTACATAGAAGTATGTATAGAAATGAAAAAGATATTATAAGAAAGATACAGATATTCACTTATCAGATATCACTAATATAATTTCTCAACAAATCCAATAAAATAAAAAAATAATTTTGTTATAACCTCTAGCAACCCCTTTGAGTACTCAGAATTTGGAGCCCCCCCGTGCAATTGACCTCCCGTCGGCTCCCCCCTAAATACCCCACTGATGAAACGACAATCATCGATGAATAAATTATCAATATTATTGATAGTTATTATATGAAGGGTTACGGGGAAAAACGATAATAGTCAATATTCCTAAAATGTTCAGTACCTATCGCAGTTTTAAATTGTTTCTCTGGCCTTTTTTTCCCATTATGATAATATTTAAACCTGTATTATATCATTGACCGAGATCTTTTTTTTAATAACTCGATACACGTGTCGATTCGTTATGAAACTAACCAAAAAGTTATTGTACCTTTTTTTATTTTATTTTATTTTTTCTTTCTTTTGATTATGATCGTTTTCCCCCGTAACCCTTCATATTCATTGGACTATATGTTGCACATTTATAATGTTAGTAGAACACATAGTTTTTTTCACACTTGTACAAGTTTAAACAGGCAAACACGTATTTGTAGCTGCTCGAAAAGTGACTTATCATTTTAATTATTTGCCATCACAGTTTTTTTCTTTAGATTCAGTAATTTGTAATAAATATAAATTAAAATAAGTAAAGCATTGTTTTTAAATAACATTGTATTCTTATACTATATTATACATTTTTTCGGCATATGAAATAAAAAAAAATATACATATACCTATTTTCAATCTTAGAAAGTATGTTTGAAAAACTTTTTCCTAGATTTTTCCTGAGCAACAGCATTTTTCCTGTTCTTATAATATTTTCAAATGAAATATTCATAGTAAATTCACACTCTATAGAAATAATTGATATTTGATAGAGCTGTCAGTTTTGATTCACCCATCATACAACGATATTTATTTTTAATTATTGTTAGTGCAGAAAAAGTGCTTTCACAGTTAGTAACTCTATACTTAAAAAAAATCGGAACGCTACATAAATATGGGGAACAACGCCCTAAAGATTATCTTCAACAATCATTTGTAACATGTTAACCGGGTTTATCAATTTATTATCTTCCTTGACTTAAACCATACCAATGAATTGTTTGAATTCGTCACATAGACTTTCTTCTACATCACAAGAGTAAACTATGACTAAATTATTTACCACTAAACCTATAATTGAGTCTTGTGTGTTGGTAATGAAGTATCCAAGTCCATAATCGTTTTTCATATGACATAAATTTAAAATTTATAAGTTATAATAATGTTTTGAAAAAAATGAGTTGACACATTGTGCCACCCTTTCAACTGGTGGCCCGGGGCCATATACCCCCCTAGCACCTCCCTTGATCCAGCGCTGCCCAATTTTATATCTTCATATTTTTTGTTATATTTTAATGGTTTTTTTTTCCAAACCACATTTTAATTATTATCTACTACACAGACACACAGTAAACAATATTTTGTGTTGTTACGTCTTATACTCGTATTATAGTTGATATTATTAATTGTTATTGCGACTAGCTATTTTTATTATTATCAGCTTAGTAGTAAACGGTGGTACATAGTATATCGTATACTAGTGTTTATCTAGAAATAATTTAGATTTGACCGATTTGGGACTATGTGTGTAATACGATAATTTGGATATTTTAGGGACTGGTAACAATTAATATAATATAATAACTATATTATATCATTGATTATAAATACTACTAATCAATGATAAAGCTGTTTTTTCTATAACATTCGTGATGATGACCGATGGACATAATACATTTTGTTTTAATATTATCGAGGTAGATTCTCGGTTGACTTGAAATAAATTCCGACAACTTATAATATTTTATTTATCTAAGTTTGAGTTATTGCAGGAATCGCTGTACAATATATTATCAGATAATTTATGTTGACGTGTACCTGTACCAATGTTGGATTATTTTCGACTTCGTTTAATGTCCATTACAGGAAATGGGAAACTTGCAACTGCGAGAGCATGAGAAGCAAAAATTAATAATATTAATAATATTAATAATATTTAACTGTTAATTATTTAATACAGTCGATTTGTATACAGGTATAGAAATTTAGAGTTATAACTATTAAATTATTAAGTAGGTACCTAGGCACTATACTGTTATTATACTAAAACTGTAATGAAGTATATGTAAATTGTAAAGTATATGTAAGTATATATAAGTTGTATATGTAACAAGACAGAATCGCATTACATCATGAAACGGCAGACGCCATCTATTGGAGGCCTCCAAGCGTCATGCGAACTCAATACAATCCTACGGAGACGTAACGAACCGGCCCGCGCCGACTCGACATAAATCGTGCAGAAACGCTTATACTCTACATCGCGACACAAAAGCCCGACTTTAAAGGCTCAAGTGTCACGAAATAGGATAAATAATATACGGATAAGCTGTGCCACTAGGTGCTACTAGATGCCGCCCAGCTAATAAACAGAACACAAATTATGAAATACAACCATAAACCGACGTCACGGAAACCTGACGAAACTCAACGAAAGGACAAAAAGGACAACATTTTTTTATACATAATTTATAATTAGGTATTAAGGTGTAGTACCTATATTCTAATCACTTTTGAAAAAAAAAATGCACTGCTTACATCTTTTTAATACCCACGCCACGCCACTGATATATCATATTGTAAATTTACAAACTATTTAGTACCTAGTTAAATATGTATAAAATTTTCAACTTTTATTGTTAAGTGTCCGTAAATAGGTTAAATATAAATAACTGTATTCACAATAACATCATAAAATATACCTAGTTATGTGTAATAAGCTGACTGACTGTTTTCTGCCCATTCCTTTTTCTTTTACAATCATATTTTCTCATTGAATTCAAATGTAACACAATCCATTACACTATTACAGTGACCAATTTATAACCTACTGTAGATCAGAGCGACACCCACTTGCCCACCTTCATTAATCATCTTCTCAAATTTTGCTGTACATTTATTAAAAAAGTATGCATTTATGTTATTAAATTATCAAAATATGCATTTAAAATAAAAACAATAAAATATGATAAATAATAACATTATTTTTTGATTCAGTAGATTACGAATCAAATTTGTATCAAAGTCAGCATTAATATGAATAAATATAAAAAAAATATGCAATACCTATTTCATAACTATTTGATCCTTAATTATTACTACAGGAAAATGTAATTGTTATATAACATTTATCATATAGTAGGCAGATTCTTCCTTGAAAGTAGGCAATATTCACTCCGAACCCCCTAAAAATGACCATAAGGATTGTCCCTGATCAGTGGTGTATCTACGGGGAGCGGGTCATATGGAGGTATATTTTTATTTTTATTTTTTTACTTAAAGCAATATTATGATAGTTGTATGAAGATTGAACAGCTTACCTAAATCTAACCTATGAATGAAAACGAATGGTATTAAATTCAATAATATCATAAAGCCAGTGGCGTCATTTCGTTTTTCAATAGAGGGGGGCAATGGTTTTGACCGGCCCGAATGGGTAAAAAGAAAACTACTCGTTTCGCTCGCAACCACATAATATTATCTACTTACATTTTTTTATAGTACCGTTTTTATTGACTAGGGAAAGTCATTTTTAAATATAAGGTAGCAAATATTTTAGAAAAACAATTGTATACCTATATCAGTTAAAAGTCTACAAACTATTATATGGCAATATTATTGATAAACAAAAATATTAGTAGTTTATTAGGATATCTTCTTTTTTTTATCTTTAAAAATATATCAACTGCATTATATATAAATCAATTATACCTTATCTATCACTTATAGCCCATACTTTATTACTCTTATATAGACAT